ACCGCTAAACTGTATATTGAACCACACCCATAAGGCATTTCCACCGTTCCAGCTTCAAATTATAAATGCCAAGTTTCATCATTTAAATTTAACCATGATTGGCACTTTTTAAAATTAATAAGTCTTAATTTATCTTTCTGGTGCTTACATATACACTGTGTCCAAGATGAGGATGTGTATCATGGGGATCTTGGAAACCGTAGAAGATAGGAAGATGGTCAAATGCGCAAGAGTTATTATATTTATTATCATGCTGTAAAGATAATCCAGAAAATTCCTAGTTCTTTCGAAGATTATTTCTTACAGCATGATAATAACTCTTTAATTGCGCATCTATTCCTATCTTCGTATCTTCTACGGTTTCCAAGATCATCATGATAGACATCCTTATCTTGGACATACTGTGTATGTTTCGCCCATGCAATTACTACGGCCATTTTCAAATCCTGAATTTTTAAAATATCAACCAATGAAACCTTCAACAATTTCCAAAATTGTTTATATTTCCAACATCCTTAGAACATTTTCAAAACTTATACATTTCCAAGTTTTGAAATATTTAAAAAATTTCCCACACTCATAAGATTCAAGCTTCAAACTTTAGCCAGATTTATTAAGAATGTTTTACTTCAATTAATCCAATGGCTAAGGTTTAGCCTTCCTATTCTGTTTTGCATTTTCCAAAATTGTATAGATTTCCAAAATTATTGAAGCATTTCCAAAGCTTTCCACACATTTCTAACATACCCTATACATTTTTGAAATATTTCCAAAATTTGCCACGCTTGCAAGATACAAGCTTTAAATTTAAAATTTTAGTCTGATTCGTCAAGCATTTTTTAGTTTAATTCGAGGTTTAATTCATCGCCGGCCTGTGTGGTTCGAATTCAGGTAAGGGAATGGATATTCTAAATGTATAGAGGGTTGGGTTGGTAGAGGAGCCTTGGCTGAAACCCCGCTTACTCAAAAATGCAAAATAAAGTAAAAAAAAAAAGAAATAAAATCACATGGAGAAGGTTTAGCGTGTTCCTCTTCTGTCTTTCATTTTCCAAAATTTTCTACATTTCCAAAATCATTGAAACATTTCCAAACCTTTCCACACATTTCCAGGATACTCCTTATATTTTTGAAATATTTCCAAAATTTCCTACGCTCACAAGATTCAAGCTTTTCAAACTTTTTGTCTAATTCATTAAGCATTTTTAGCGCATTTTCCAATTCATGCTGGAAGGCGCTATTATAGCCACTCTCCGTTCATCCGAGGTCGAAGCTACTGCAATTTTCAATATATTTAGTTTGCTCTTTTTGAATTCAGTAGCTTATAGCTCTGGCACTTGAGCCAAGAAAAATCTCGACGGTTAATGTGCGCATGCGCAGGCTGCGCAATATCAACTTTCTTATTTACTAATATATCTTGTTGAAATTTTATCCACAGATGCTTCTAGTAAAGGGGAACATATTGGATATAGTCATTGAATAAGCACTTTAAAGAAGTATAACTACATACGAAAACCTGAAATTGGTGTAAGGTGTGTTGCATACACTGCAAAGTGGTTAATTACCACAAATATTGAAGGATATTTGGCCTCGGGTGGTAAATAATGACTATTTTAAACAGGGAAACCAGTTATACTTAGGGGTCCTTTGTTTTCCTTGTTTATCAGAGTTGAACAGTGTTGTCATATTTACCAGATCCTTACATGGAGCTAGGTAAAGTTTGATTGTTTATTATGTAAAGATAATGGTCCTTAGAACAGTTCTTGTTGTTTTCTTATTGTTTTCTTATTAGATTAAACTACATTTTTTACTTTATTTATTGTTATGATCTTACATTTCAGATTGATCCTCCCTTACATAATATTGTTATTGGCATTGAATAAAAGCTGATTCAATATTTTTATGTATTATTCAAACTCAAAGCGCTTGCTAAAAATCTGGCAACATTGGAATGTTAAAGAAGTAAAGAAATCTGCAAAGTCGGTAACTAGCTTTAAATTTGTGGTTCACTTTCCCCCACAACAGAGGGACGACAGAATCCTGGGCAGATTTTCTTATTTCATCAGTTAACACGGGCGTTATACTTAGGGGTCCTTTGTTTTCCTTGTTTATCAGAGTTGAACAGTGTTGTCATATTTACCAGATCCTTACATGGAGCTAGGTAAAGTTTGATTGTTTATTATGTAAAGATAATGGTCCTTAGAACAGTTCTTGTTGTTTTCTTATTGTTTTCTTATTAGATTAAACTACATTTTTTACTTTATTTATTGTTATGATCTTACATTTCAGATTGATCCTCCCTTACATAATATTGTTATTGGCATTGAATAAAAGCTGATTCAATATTTTTATGTATTATTCAAACTCAAAGCGCTTGCTAAAAATCTGGCAACATTGGAATGTTAAAGAAGTAAAGAAATCTGCAAAGTCGGTAACTAGCTTTAAATTTGTGGTTCACTTTCCCCCACAACAGAGGGACGACAGAATCCTGGGCAGATTTTCTTATTTCATCAGTTAACACGGGCGTTATACTTCTTTAAGGTGCTTATTCAATGATATAGTCAAAGTGCGGATGCGCAGACTACACAATGCCAACTATACACATTTTTTTTTCAAATTTTAACCACAGATGTTTCTAGTAAATGCAAACATATCGCATATTGCAGTTGTGCGCATGCGCAGATTGCTCAATGCCAACTTTCTTATTTATGGAGACATTTAATTGACAATAATTGGTTGAAAAATACACCAAAGAAATAATTCGTCTGTAACACGGAATCTGAAATAATATGTACCAGTTGTAAAACAATATTGTGTATGTCAGAGAATTTAATGTAAAAAACAGCGCGATTTTTATCTTTACTAGTCTTAAAATCATTTTTCTTTATTACCCGTGACTGAATTGTTTTTGACATTGGCCGACTTGCTTGGCAGAGTAATGTGAATGCTCTACGGCACTGCGTTCGGGCATGGATTTTGTGTAGAGCGGATTAGGTTGACTGAAATTCTGTTTATTCAAAAATAAAGGAAAATAAAAAACCTCGAGTTTTTATATTGAGAGGTACAAGTCGCCATACTTGGTGAAGATGTGGAGGAAATTTGAAGGTATTGTTTTATTTGACTTTATTGATTACTTAGGTAGTCGCCCAAATCACAGTAGTCAGACCACCACACTCATTTCACAGCACAGTAAGTGCGACTTGGGAGGGGGTGGGGGTGGGATTGGGTAAGACTATTTTTTATTTATAAATATAAAATACAATATAAATAATTAATTTCATATGCTTATTTGAAATAGGCGGCGTCTATAAAGTCTATAAAGTAGATCGAATGGGGAAAGTTTGACTGATGACCATACCAAAAAATAGGTTTCGCTTGGAATAATCATCAGTAGTACTTTTACACCAATGAAGAGAGATACACTATTTTTGTATCAACAATAGTATATAGGATGTTTCAAAATATTTGATACTGTGAAGGTTGCAAAATTATGTACGGTTTTACAACAGTGTTCATTTTTTAATAATTTAATGTGTACAGGGTGATTAGATGCTGCTTACTTGCTGGGTCAGTTAAAAAAGATTTATTTACAGGATGAGGCAGAGTAAGGTAAAAAATGGCGAAGTGCGTCAGACATAAGTGTTACTTTTATTTATTTTTACTGAATGTTTTTGATGTGCACTAACTGGTATATTGAAATGAACATTAGTTGCCTAAACCGAAGCAACTATTTTCCTCCCGAGAGCTCGAAATGGTGTCGACGCGCTGCTACAGCAGAATCGGCTCAGATTTGTTGCAATCACGCCGATATGTGTAATGCGGATTTAAGGGCGGAACTTGTTCGTCCCCGTTCTTATTTAAATCAAGGTAACAGGTAACCGTGTGATGCCTATTTTATATAAACAAGGCTAACCTTATGTTGTCGTTTTGTTATTAAAACTATAACTAATCCGTATTTCGTACAAACGGTGAGTATTTGTGTGATTAATTCGTTTGCTTTTAAAGAGACAAACACTTTAACCGCTCTTGGCCGAAAAGTTCTTTGTTGTGAAGCTAAGGTTAATGCGAAACATTCCCGGACCCTTACCCTCCTTCCTCTTCAGAAGTTTATATCATGGAAGAGCTTCGAAATAATCGTTCACCAATAACACTAAATCCAATCAACTCCCTAAAAGACTGGCTAATGCCAATTTCCACACTAGACCACAACACACAATGTGCTATGGTCGTAAATGTGTGGTTTGTCCAATAGTTTCGATAGTACACTTTTCTATTTAGCAGAATCAGTCTTGTTGAGTATCGTAAGCAATGAAAAGTGTACTACGAATAATTAAAATATTGTGATAACTATAGGAGTTTCAAATTAAAATTTATTCATTCGTTTCTGAATTTTGTATCGTAAATTAAACACAATTTGGCAATTTAGGTGCCTGGAACGGAATCTCCAAATTCCTCATGATAATCCTTTGTTCTGTTATCGACAGAACCCTCTCAATAATACATTTGTTATGGAGTGCTGCAAAAACGAAGATTTCTGCAATGTGAACCTTCAACCTAAACTATTACCTAAACCCCAAGGTAACTGCCTACGCTGCTACTATAAATTACTTACGCACTTCCAATGCACTATCTTCTGTATATATTTATCTTTTTTTTGCAATGCTCATCGTAGTGCATCTAATGCACCTTTTGTATCAAAATGATCTTTTTTCAGTGTTCTCGAATTGCATTTAAAATACAAATCTGTACAATTAAAACACAATGACGATTAAATTTCTACGATATGCATTTTAAATTCAATTTTGCGACACCATGTAGGTGGCAGCACTTCTTTTACACGGTGGCAGACTTCTCTCTGTATATAACCCGCTACTTTTAATTACCAAATAGTACTAATTAGACGATTAATTTTCAGGAAATGCGTTAGATTGTAATTTTTATTTACTTTTTTTGTTGTTGCTTCTTTTCTGTACCTATGTTTAAAACATTTTGCAATTTACTAGATGTTTGGATCAGAAAAATATTTATTTCCATCCCAGTAGTCAAAATTCCGATTATTGCAAAGAGACTGTGGTTTTATACGAACATCACACGATCGAAAAGCGAGCGTCAGATTGCTGCGACGATAGTGATTATTGTAACGAGAGGTTAGCTCTTTCAATGTCGCTACCACCAGGTTAGAATTGAAAGTAATAATAAAGGTTTTTACACGTTTGTCTTTGGTCCATTTTTTAAGCTACAGCAATTTAATCTACACATCTTTGTAGTATTTCAATTTGGTGACAAAAATATACAATGTGAATCTTATAACGTGTCTTAAAGAGGTTAAGTATTGAATCTTGATCTAGAACAATACAATGAAGGGGTTTTTTAGAAGAAGATAATATTTAAAAGTGGGAAACATAAAAAAAATGAGTGCATAGTATTGTAAGTATTGATTGTTAAAAATAATTGATTACTTTGATTAATCAAGGAATATGTAAACGAGTAGAGTAAATGGAATGTGGGACTGCATCACTTTTTCTCGGCAACCACAACATATACGACAATCGAATTGATTTTAAAAAAATGTTTCTAAAACTCCTACCGCCAGATGGCGCAACTCTAAACAGTGTGCGAAAACCGTTGAACATAAAAACTAAATCTTAGTTTTCAAAATTTAAAAAAGTCAGCTGCAATACTTGGTTAGATTTTTCTGTCGAGTAAAACATGACATAAGAAAAATACTTCACCAAGAGTGAGGAGTAACAAAAAATTCTGACTTCCGTTTAGAGGCTCATCATCTTGGAGTATGAATTTTTTAACAAAATCAGAAAGAGCACACCTAAAGACCTAGGTAAAGCTGCAAGTTCATTCTTTGCATCTATTGTAGCTAATGAAAAAGAGAATTATTCAAGAAACGCAAATTTTTGGGGTTTAGCTCCTAAACTATAATTGGACTTTTGGTTTATTTGGAAAAAAAATACTTATTTTGGTCCCCACTATTAACCAACTTTTTTACCTACTTTATTGTTACACCTTGTACCTATACACGGTGTCCATTTTTCGAGTGCCACTATGGGGATCTCGCTTACCTTAAGAGATAGAAAGCTGGTTAAATGGGAGCAAAGTTGCGAATTTCCCTGCTGAATAACCATCTGAAAAGAAATTTAAAATATCATCATAGTTCTGAAAATATCGCCAAAAACGAAACTTTCTGATTTTCGTTTTTAATTTTTTCATCAACTACTATCGGAGTAAAATGTAGAGTCCGCTGGCTTTAAACGGTTATAAAAAAAAACTACCCAACCGATTTTTATCAAATAAAGCGTAATAGAATCGTCAACTATTTCTACTTATCCGTACGTAATGTCATATTTCTTGTTAAATTTGGGAAAATGTGATAGTGAAATATGTACGGGAAAGCGCGCTTTTTCAATGAAAGTATACGAACTCAGAACTTTAGGATTTAATTACAAAAAAGTATTCACTCAAATGGAATAATCGCAAAGTTGTACCTTGCAGCAACGTTGCGTATAAAGCGGCACACACGCTAAGTACACGGTAAAATAATATATGCATGAAATTGTTATTGTGTATTAATCATGTTTGCCGCACATCACACATGAAAACCGCAGGTTATTATTCATCTTGTTTCGTACGTAGAATATTAGCTAATTTACACAAAAACAAACATCCACAAGTTGTTTTCAGACAATATGTACGCATTTATGACGTTTGCTATTTTATTAATCTTATAAAAAAAGAATGAAGTCGTTTCCTTCAATAATAGCTGCGTTGCAATGTTTTTGCTTTTCCGCTAATTACGCAAAAAGGGAACAAGATATTTCCATAATTTTTTCTACAATAGCTACAGCATGAATTGGGTTATGTAATACCCGAAATGTATGAATTTTCGTGGAAAAATAAACTATTTATGGACCTGTACAACAACGACAAATCACACATTTTAGAGTACTTTTTTGTGAGGAAAATTCGATAACGTAAAAAGTCCTGGCAGCAAAAATTTACAATTTACGTATGTTAACAACAACTTACCAATTGATACATTTTACTCCGATAGTAGTCGTACGAGACATTTCTAATTAACACATTATTCGAACACTTTTCAATGGAGATTTCGAATGTGACATCTCGTTTTAAATAACTTAAAATGACAGAGAAACACGTGGCAACTTTAGTTTTTCTTATGGGCGCCATTTTTACTTTTGAGATTTTAAGATTACGTCTTTTTTTCTCTTTGCGACGATATATCACACTTGGTGGTTCAGTATCACATTTTTCCTAAAATACAATTTTTAATTTTTTGGGAAGAGTGCTTTGGAAAAACAAAACGTTCTTTTATTGTGAACAAAAGTTTGACAGTTTGATGCATATGTCCGGTTGCAGCGTTGACATCAGGGAACTAGATGTGTTGAGAAAATTCGATTTTCATATGAACAGAATTGAACCTTCGTTTTGCAAGAAAATTATAATTCAAATTAGAACAAAATACATAACAATAAATAATATTTTACCAATAAAACTAGCACAAACGTAAATGACACTGCTTGAAATAAGTCAACATTTTCTTCACAACAAAAGAACGTTTTGTTTTTGCATAGCACTCTTCGCATAAAATGAAAATTGTATTTTTAGAAAAAATGTGATACTGAACCATCCATGTGTGATATATCGTTGTAAAGAGAAAAAAAGACCTAATCTCAAAATGTCAAAATCCAAAACGGCGCCCATAAAAAAAACTAAAGTTGCCACGTGTTTTTCCGTTATCTTGAAAGTTATTAAAAACGGGATGCCACATTCAAAATCTCGATTAAAAAGTGTCTGATTAATGTGTTAATTAGAAATGTCTAGTACAATTAGTTTACCATGAAAAAGTTAAGAATAAAAATCAGAAATTTTCGATTTTTTGCCATATTTTCAAAACTATTGAAGATATAAATTTCTTTTTAGATTATTATTCAGCACGAAAATTCGCAAATTTGCCCTAATTTAACCAAGTTTCTATCTCTTAAGATAAGCGAGATCCCCATAGTGGCACTCGAAAAATGGACACCGTACTGTGTCCAAGATAACGATGTCTATTATGGGGATCTTCGATACCATTAGAGAAAAGTTGCGCAATAAAATCAAAAAAATTCCGATTTCTTCCCAAGATATGCGGGATTTGCCGATTTGGTTTTTATGTTTTTGTTATTTGAACAGATACAAAAAAAAAATGGAAAATATTCTTATTCCCACTTTTTGAGCTCGAGAGAGATCATCATAAACTCTATTTTTTTTATAGGGCCTGTAAAAAAAGTACATCCTGTATATTTATAGCATTTTTTATTACGAATACTATGCAGGTACGTCACACAAAAAAAGCAAAGGTTCAACAGGATGGTGCACGCGCTCACAACGCCGAGAATATTCATTGGACAAATTTTGGAAAATGGAAAATTTCTCCGATAGGTATATATTCTTGAACGATCAGGGCGTTATGCGTGGGTGTATCATTCTGTTGAAATCAACAGCTTCAGGCTTTTGGTTTTTTTTGGGTGCCCTATATTGTTGTATCAGTAATAAAAAATTCTACTCAATACAGTATGTACTTTTTTTACGGACCACATAAAAAATAATTCTCCGAAACGAAATGTTACATTGAAAAACTCTCAACGCCATCTTCCATCTTGTAGAGTAGCAATGAGAAAGTAGTGTTTTTCTTATTTTTTGGTGTCATCAGAAAAACATGAAAATGAAATTGGGAAATTCGGAATGTTTTTTGGTTTTCTTTAAAGCAGGATAATAAGTCGTTAATTGCGCATCTTGTATGTAATTTGACCAACGTCATATCTTCTGTGGTTTCGGAGATCCCCATGGTAGATATTCCCATCATGGACACAGTGTGTAGACACTTTCTCGTTTACAATACATCGTTTGAACACAACTGGTGATTTCAAGTGATTTCAATTCTTTGTAAGAGGCTGTTCCAACTAAGCCCATATGACGCCAGTGATTCAATCGCAAGACTGTCCAAAATCTGGTTTTCTGAGAGATATTTTCAAAACTTTAATCAGTTGTCAGACAATGAATTTCTAAGACGAGGCTGAGAATATTTTCAAGTGGCAAAAAGATTTCAAAAGAAATTCGTATATTTCCCAGAAATCGCCCAAGATGCCAGGGTTGTGAAGCAGTCCAACTAATATGTATGGTGTACAAAATTGTCTTTGCGGTTTCCCTAGCAGTTTGGGCTTTGTGTGCTGTACAGGGTGGTTCAAATTGGGATCTCCGCGACGGTGAGAAGTACATTGCAAGTTAAATGGGGGCATCTTTATGTGACTAAAAACCGTTTTTGAAATTTTTGAAAAATCTGAAAATCACCAAAAAACTGAAAATGTTCAATTGATGGACGGTTCCCGTGGGCACCTTCTATGGTCACTTTTTTTTTCGAGAGTCTGAATCTGTTATCAGAATTTGCATAACACGCTAGATGTAGAAGCTACATGCTACTACTTTCTTATTTCTTATGGGTGCCATATTGGATTTTACGGAATGAGAGCACAAAAAACGAAAAATAATGACGTGTCACACTCATTATACAAATTTACAAGAAAAATTTCAAAACCAAATGTTTTTACACTCATTTCTCAACAATTCGTTCATGGGTAACTAGATCTGGCTGAATCAACACAGTTATGATCGCGATGCATTCAAATGAATTTCTCTTTTTGCCCTCTCATTCTGTAAAAATCCAATGTGGCGTTCATAAAAAAAGAGTTGCTGTCGAGTTACCTTTGGAATTTTTGTTTACATGGAAAATCATATTTAACTTGAACTTCCAAAGGCGACTCGACGTAAATCCGAGCGTCTCAATCCTTTTTTGATCGCCCGTTAGTAACTTATAGCTTCTACATTTAGCGGGTTATGGAAATTCTGATAACGGATTCAGATTCTCTGAAAAAAGTAACCACAGAAGGTGCTAACAACAATTTCAAACGTGTTTTTTTAGTCACAAAAAGGACCTACACTATTGAACTATCCTGTACAGCTTGTCCCAATAAGAATAACTTTTTTATCCGTAGGAAATAGTTTTCCTTCTCTTTCTAAGAAGCTTTGGTCGCGCTTGGCAGTTTTGACACAGTAACGTGGCAACCCCGCAATTGTAAATGCGACTCAATTCGTTTTTGCGAGGGTATCTCGGTTATTTTTGAAAGTATAAAAAAAATACTCCACTTGAGATCTCCGTAACGGTGAGAGATGCGGTATAGTTGCCCCCTTTTGTGACTTAAAAAAACGTACCTATTTGAAATTTTTGAAAAATCTGAAAATACTGCGATGTGATAAAAACTGAAAATGTCAAATGTAGTTTTCATTTTCCCTAGTTCATACGGCCGGAATTGAACGGTTCTCGTTAGCACTTCCTATGGGCGCTTTTTTTTAGGAGAATCTGAAGCCGTTGTCAGAATTTGTATAACACGCTAGATGTAGAAGCTACAGGCTACTTATTTCATATGGATACCACATTGGCTTTTTACGGAATGAGGTAGAGGCCAAAAAAACGAAAAATAATGACACTAATAATAATGTCACACTATACTTTTACATAAATTTACAAGAAAAATGTCAAAATCAAATGTTTTATATTAATTTCTCAACAAAACATCCATGGTTAACTAGATCTTACTGAACCGATGTGACTGTGATGGCGATGCATTCAAATGAATTTCCTTTTTTGTCCTCTATTTCATTTAGTCAAAATCGCAATGTGGTGCGCCCATAAGAAATAAGAAAGTAGTAGCTTGTAGCTTCTGCATCTAGCGTGTTATACAAGCGCCCATAGGAGGTACTAACGGGAACCGTTCATTTCCCGCCGTTTAAACTAGGGAAAATGAAAACGAAACTTGACATTTTTAAGTTTTTTGTTATATCTCATTTATTTTCAAAGATTTTTCAAAAATTTTAAATGCTTTTTTAGTCACAAAAAGAAGAAACTTTGCCCTTATTTAACCTACACTGTATCTCACCGTTACGGAGATTCGAAGGGTGAGCCACGAATTTGAACCACCCTGTACATATTTGCTTTTCCAACATTTCCTGTACAGGGTTATTCTGTGTATTTAGACAGCGCGTTATTATTGGAGATAGATAAGAACTTTAAATACAATCATAAATATCTCTAGAAAATGTAAAGTAAAAAAAAACATAAATATCGTAAAGTGAGTAAAAAATGCAAATTTGGTAAATTTTTAATTGAACGCCCTGTATATTTTTAAAAAATTAAATAGATCTTTTCTTTCCGATTTCAAAAATATATAATATGTTGACATTCGCTTTGGCCATACAGTAGGCGCTTCGTACTCCGGCACTCTATCATAGATTCCTACAGTAAAAGAGTACTATAGGAGGTCTATAATCCGACAATCGCTCCATAACTCGGATTATAGTGTGGGTCAGCTGAATCGCTAAATCCCGGACTACTTGGTGTGTCAAGCGCAACTGTGATGATTAGTAATTCTGTACCTTACTTAAAGTGTGTAGCCAGTAGATGGCGACTGCTTGGAGAACCAACTTGCTGTGAGCATAGTCAAAGCCTAAAGCTAAGATTCTGTGTACAAGAGGTCCATCCTGCTTTTGATGTAGATAAGCACTTGACAATTGACATCTCTTGCAAAGTGTCTATTAAATGAAAGGTAACTATTGCTGACAATATCGAGGGTTTGTACAAAAAATTGAGCTTGATTGGTAGGCCCTTTTCTGCACGTGGTGACGTTCGGGCTTTAATTATCAAACATTGTAAGATTCACAAGCAGTAGTTTTCACTTGCTCTCTGAGAATGTGTAGATTAAATTTGTATTGTTGTCAGCAGTTGGCATTATTATCAATGGGGATACCAAAAAAGTGACCATTACATATGCAGGGGATACAAAGAATGATAACTGGAAAAAACATTAACCTTTAACTTTTTTTCAGGATTTATCTATCAGGTGTTTCAACTTTCATTCACGTGCACGCTTCGAGAAAAATCTAATATCCTATAATGTACAATTAGCTTTGCTTTATTTAGCTTCGGGTATGTGTTTATATTTTTCTAACGCTTCCTTAACGCATGGATGGTAGTTTCATGATCGCATGCTGCTACTTTTTATATAAAACTTACGCAGGCTGTTTCAAAACCATAACTAACGTTTTGAAACTCCCTGTACTTACATTTAAAATTCTTTCTGACTTTTGTTAAAATAATAGACATGTCATCGGCGACGACGACAATGGGCACATTGGAAATTGCCGCCGTTATTGTTGTGCCTACCGTAATCATTTGTGCAATCGCCTTGGGTTTCTACTACTACTGGCAGCGGAAGTGCTCAACCCACCATCACTTGGGCCTCGAGGATAGCATAGAAGCTCCCGACCATCCAATACTGAACGGAGTTAGCTTGAAGCACATGATAGAAATGACTACGAGCGGTAGTGGTTCTGGTAAATAGGTACGAAATGTCCGACGGGTTTTTACAATTGGTAACTCACCGTAGGTTTACCATTGCTCGTTCAGCGTAGTATAGCACGTCAAATACAACTCGTCGAGATAATCGGGCAGGGAAGATATGGAGAAGTTTGGAGAGGTCGGTGGAGAGGCGAAAACGTAGCTGTTAAGATTTTTAGTTCTAGAGAAGAGAGATCTTGGTTTAGGGAGGCGGAAATTTATCAAACGGTCATGCTGCGACATGACAATATTTTGGGCTTCATCGCCGCAGATAATAAAGGTCTGTTCTCGGTATCGTTCCGAGTCCTCTCATCACCATGCATTTTAGACAATGGTACGTGGACCCAGCTTTGGTTAATTACGGATTATCACGAGTACGGGTCGCTTTTCGATTACCTCGGTAGGAGTACTTTCGATACCAGCGCCATGATACGCATGGCGCTTTCTATTGCTACGGGTCTTGCTCACTTACATATGGACATAATGGGAACTCAAGGTCTGTATCTGCCTTAACGAGTGTGACCTTAGTAACGATTTATCTAGGAAAACCGGCGATAGCGCATCGTGATTTAAAGTCAAAAAATATCTTAGTGAAGTCGAACGGTACGTGCGCTATCGGTGACCTTGGCCTTGCTGTCCGACATGATGTTACCACAAATAGTGTTGATATACCTCTTAATAATCGTGTAGGAACTAAAAGATATATGGCTCCAGAGGTAAGCAACTTTGTGATGGCAACCAATTTCTAACGCATTGTGCAGGTTTTGGACGAGAAAATGAACACAGAACAGTTCGACTCGTTCAAAAGAGCCGACGTCTACGCGTTAGGTCTTATATTTTGGGAGATCGCGCGCAGGTGTAACGTGGGAGGAATATATGACGAGTATCAGCTTCCATTTTACGACGCCGTACCTTCAGATCCCACCATCGAAGAGATGAGGAGGTAAGACGCATTCCCCAAATCGACCGTCACTGATCACTGTTGCATTGCAGGGTGGTTTGTGTAGATCGACAGAGGCCTAATATACCAAATAGATGGCAAAGTTGCGAAGCTTTACATGTGATATCAAAACTAATGAAGGAGTGTTGGTATCACAATTCGAACGCGAGGCTAACAGCCTTGCGAATTAAAAAGACTCTTGCAAATTATAGAGCGTCGGAAGAACTCAAAATATGAGATTCAATGTTAAATTAGGGTAAGTATATTGTTCAGTTATGGGGAAACCGTTAATTGAAGTTATTGAGGTGATACATTAGTACCTACTCGTATGTGATTTTTGTAATATTAATAAATGTCACCCATATGAAGAGGAGAAGTGGTTCAAGGATCGATTTCTGAGGCACTCCTCAAAACAAAATTGTTGTTGTAAGCAGATCACAGGGTATTCATTAGTCATTTCCACAGATTGTCTGTTGGCATAGGTCAAACGCCTAAAGTTGCAGTATGGCTTAAGAGGGGCCTTTAAAACAAGTTGCCAGATTTTGCCAAGCGCGGCGCTAAAGTCGGTAAAAATCGATATTTTTCATGAAATTTCAGTCAGCAGATTCGATTGTCATTATAATGGTAACACCTACCGCTTCCCCATAGAGGCCGCCTAAACTTTAGCGCGTTTAAAGTCACTAGATATCAATCTTAGACTCTCTAAGATCGCAATCATCCGCTATTTTTGGCAAAAAAGCAAGTGGTATTTATTATTGGTGTGAGTAATCACACTGGACACATTTAACATTCTTGGTGATAACAAGCGCCATCTTGGGGAGAATACCTGAACTTTGATAGGTTTGCCAACATGGTTGATTATTATTCGATGTCAATGTCAGATGGTTTTAACCACATTACTCGTTTATTATCAATTTTTGCGAGATGATATTTGGGCAATTATGACTAGTAGAATCAGAATTTATCCTCTTATTTGCATGATTTTCAGTAATACGAGAGTAATGTGTCTAATAAATATACCTAACTTTGGAATTATGGCGCCATCTTGCGGGGTATGTGTTTTAAAGGGATCTCTTAATCATACACGGGGAGAATTAATCGGAAAGTTACTTTGGGATGTGTTGGGTCGGTTTTTCTTGTCTTAGGTAATTAAATTAATGTGATAATTTGATTAATCTTTTGGAACTTATGGCCATATGCACCGAAAGTTTAAGCAGAGCTTAGTTTAAGTGTAGTTTGATATCCATAGTAATGATTATTGGGACAATGGTTGCCATGGATTTTAAGCTAGGCTTAAGTTAAGCTCAGCTTAAATTTTTCGGCGCATACGGCCATTAGTGTTGTTGTTACACAGCAGGCTACAAGTGGGTGTATACCTAACATTAACGCATTGGCCATTTCCCATATCATCACAATATCGCACCTCATCTGCATTTGATGTAAGACGTTGAGGGCGATAAAGGGCTCTTCAGATGTTTTTCTTGATTCTAAATAGACTAATGTAAGATTGGCGGACAAAATTTGAGCAAATCTCACTGTATTTCTCCGTGGTGGTGTGGGTCATGGGGAGGGAGCTTACATTTCGGCTGTATTCCTCAATTCTGGATTGACCTGGCAGTCGAGAACCAAGCAACATGGAATGAGGCGGCTTTGTTTCGCTGGGAGCCGAATTCAACGGATTTTTATCATTGAAGTAGTGTCACCTGACAGTACTGTAGTAGGTGATTTTTGAGCTGTATTGTAATGTGAAAGCACAGCTTACTTTTGATGAAAGTTCAAAATTTTACATAATATTGCAATGAAGGTAGGTTAGGTTACATGCCAATATACGTCAATGCAGTGTTTTACCCCAAGAGGCGGGGGATAAACACTGCGCGCGTAGATCGGCGCAAATCGTTCCCATCAAGAGAGTTGTGCAGCTGGATAGTAAGTAAGGTGTGCCTATATACCTTCTGTACTCTTGGAGCCACCCCCAAAACTGAAACGATAGTTAAGCTCGAACATCAGTTAGTGAACAAAATTCGGCTAAAATAAACCCATAAAGAGCGGCTAAAAAAGCGGCAGAGCACCTCGGTGTGATCCCACGGAGTCATTGGATTTGACCCATTTTTAATTAGCTTGTTACATATGGCATATATGTTAACTGTGCAAAGTTTGAACCGAATAGGTTCAAGCGTATGCCAGAGACAGAGCGCTGTGATCCTACGGGGTCATTGAATTTGACCCATTTTCAATAGACTTGTTACATGTGGCATATAAGGCGACTGTGCAAAGTTTCAACCAAATACGTTCAAGCGTTTGGCAGGGACAGAGAAGCGTGACCCCACGGGGTCATTGGATTTGACCCATTTTCAATAAACTTATTACATGTGGAATATAGGTCAACTGTAGAAAGTTTGAACCGAATAGGTTCAAGCGTTTGGCAGAGACAGAGAGGCGTGACCCCAAGGGATCATTGGATTTGACCCATTTTCAATAGGCTTATTACCAGTGGTATATTGGTAAATGACGGTAAAGGTATACGCAGGCGTCGGTTTAACCGGAAGGAGGGGTGTGTGTAAAATGAGTCCTGTCATGTGGAGGGGGGGGGGGCTCCATTTGTAATTTTTTACAAAACAGGTTTATTGTTTTATTCTTTGAGTTCTAATAATAACACAACGTAACAACAAACATGTTTGAAACTATACAGGGTGTCTTAAATTGAATAGGATAGCAGATAGCATGGCTATCTTTGTTATTTCTATACTTACAGATTCGGTTAAATTGGCAAAGGATTGGATATTCCGATGCGATATTTTGAAAAAAATAAATCGTTTCATAGATAATTCAAAAAAAGTGAAAATGGCAATTTTTAAAAAGTTTAAATATTTTAGTAAAGCTCAATTTACATTATACTTTTTTCGTCTAGAAACTTTGACTAGAACTTGTACTAGATGAACTTGTTAAAATTTTGACAATGTAAATCAGAAAATTCCGTCCAAGTTTCTAATCTAGAAACTAGATCTGAAACTAGGTCCAGACCCATTTTCCATCCAACTTTCATACTTGTGACTTGCGCACTAGCACCAAATTAGAACAAATTCCGTGCTACCAACAACTTTATTTTTATACTCTTGAACATAACCTCAAATATAAGTCTCTTGAATTAGGTACATGTACATAGCAAAAATGAGTTTCTTTTGCTTGTTATTCATGGTTGTTTCCTAGCAATTTAAATTAACCTCAAAATGTACAATATTGAGATTTGTTTTCCGAAATTGGCAGCACTGCCATTGAAACACAAAAAGTCAATGCATCAAAAAGCGGTAAATTTAAATTTCTAGTATAGTGTCGAATCTAGCACAAATTCTAGTCAAAGTTTCTAGACGAAAAAAGTATAATGTAAATTGAGCTTAACAAAGAGCTATCAAAAAAGTTTCAAATAAAATTCGATGGGATAAATTCAATGAACGTAGAAAAAAATTTTTAAAATGGAGGTTTCCGAGATATTGACTTCAACTTCCTTATTTTAAATGGACGCCATATTGGATTTTTATGTCACTCGATAGATAAAAAAATTACAAAACCAGTGATACTAAATATTTCATCTGGGAATCGACCTTACATTTTTGTATTTCTTATAGCAATAATTCCATGGCTGTGTCGATGGTGACTATGGGAGACAATAAACGAACGAATTTGGTTTCAATCATAATCAGCTATGGTGTTTAGTATCACTGGTTTTGTAATTTTTTTTATCGGGTGACGTAAAAGTCCAATATGGCGTCTATTTAAAATAAGGAAGCTGATGTCAAATCTTGGAAATCGTCATTTTAAAAATTTGTTTTCTACGTTTATTGAATTTATCCCATCGCATCTTGCGATCTTTTATTTGAAACTTTTCGACAGCTCTCTAAAATAAAATATTTGAATTTTTTAAAAATGGCGATTTTCACTTTTTTCCAATTATCTACGAAACGAATTGTTTTTTTTTCAAAATATCGTATCGGAATATCCATCAGCATCAAAAACTACACAACTTTGCCAAATTAACCGAATCTGTAAGTATAAAAATAACAAAGATGGCCATGCTATCCTACTCAATTTAAGACATCCTGTATACATATTAAGAATTATTGTTATAAAGGTAGGTACAACATAATGTATTTTTATATCATTTCCCAAAGGAATTCGCGTGCACTATCTGCAAACATAAGGAATAAATTTTTTTGTCACCAAGATGTTATACGTAGGTACTTATGGGTGGGGGCTACAAACTGCCCGGGAACTCTGAATAAAAACTAGTACTTTTAAACGTATACGACGTATACCCGCGTATACCCTTCAATACAGCACTGCTTATTACTTGTGGCATATAGGTCAACTGTGCAAAGTTTGAACCAAATCGGTCCAAGCGTTTAAGAGTTATCGTGTTCACGGACAGACGGACACCATCGACTCCCCTATAAAGCTTGCATCGCTTTGCTCTGCCGCTTAATAAAACTGACAGTTAATTCCTTATGCCGCGTGTACACGAGGCCAATAACTGAATTCCATTAACTGGTTCCGTGTAATGCCGCGTTTACACGAGGCCAGTATACCTACAATAGCAGCTGGACTCCACTCCAGTGACTGGATTTCAGTAGCTAGTCTAGCGAATTAACGTTTACAGGAAACCAGTTCATTGGTGCCAGTTAGAATGTCGAGTTGGCCCGGTACCTTGGATCACCAGGGTCCAGTGAGGACATAAATACAGTGTTTTACCAATTACGTCACGATTTTATCACTGAATCTTGTGATATGCTCCAGGAAGAATTGGAAAAGAAGAAAGAATGGATCAGAAAATTGATGTTGAGAAAGATTCAGGCGTTGCATCATTTCAGTTGCTCAATTGGTTGTATAAACACTCTTTCTCTCTGTACCCCCACTTGTCAGGTGCCATTGTTACACAGCAGTGCACATAACCAATGTTAAACACAAGTAGATTGATACTAATTCTGTCACCCAACTGGCAGAGTCGTTCGGGCGCGGATATGTGCAGTTTACACGACGCAGTCGATCGGCGACAGTCCTCCTTTGAGTTGTGGGGGCGCTTAGCTATTGGCCCACTGGCTACTGTTGTAACCAATGGACTGGCGCGACATTTTTTGACTGAACTGGATCCTAACTGGTATTCACTGGTGTTTACACGGAGTCAGTTATTGGCCTAATGTAAACGCAATCAGTTACTATCCAGTCCAGTCGAAAAATGTCACACCAGTCCACTGGCTTCAAGAGTAGCCAGTGGGGCTAGGGATGGGCGATAACTGTTTTCACCTATCGATAAGTATCGGGTACTTACCTATCGATATATTTTACTTATCGATATGCCGATAATTATCGAAATATCGATGGTTATCGATATATCGATACCTATCGATAACTATCGAAATATCGATATGTCGATAGTTATCGATATATCGATAGTTATCGATATTTCGATAGTTATCGATATATCGATAGTTATCGATATATCGATAGTTATCGATAGTTATCGATATATGAATACTATCGATAGGTATCGATATATCGATATGTCGATAGTTATCGCTAGGGATGGGCGATAACTGTTTTCACCTATCGATATAAGTATCGGGTATTTACCTATCGATATATTTTACTTATCGATATGCCGATAATTATCGAAATATCGATGGTTATCGATACACCGATAACTATCGAAAACTGCCGCTATATCGATAAGTATCGGTATATCGATAGTTCTCGTTATGGCGATAGTTTTTAATATATAGGTATAGATATAATATTACCGATAATTTTTTTGAAAGCGTGTCTAAAAACTGCATGAGTTTACTTTTATATTTTGGCGAAAGAGCCTGACAAGACAAGAGGGCTCTTTTAACAAAATATGAAAATAACCGAATGCAGTTCTTGCAACTTTAATGGAGTTACCATATTAACTGTGCAATTATCGCAGGGCTCTTTAGCTTTCTACAATGCAATTACCGCTGTAATTAAGCGGTAATTGCACGTCTCATTTGAGAGAAATATTCGACGTATCGATAGTTATCGACAGGGATAGTTATCTTATCGAGTTTTATTAATAAAATCCATTTTCCGGTTTATTCTCGTGTAAAATGACTATTAATAGTTACTCGACGTTTCTTTGCTACCTTTATCAAGAATTTTTTGTTAGATTTCGTAAATGTCAATCAATTGAAACTGTATATCTAAATTTGAAGTGTTCTTAGCTTTTTCTGTTTTTTTGTGACTGCTCCTCTGTAACCATCAATCAGATACCGATACATAGGCCATGATTAGACCCTTTGATTGTCTTCTTTATTTTATCTAAAGAGTAGCCATTTTGATGCAACATTTTGTTCAAGTTTTTGAAGTGCTTCTTTTTTTGAGCAATCGTCAGTAAGACGAAAAGATCTATTTTCTAAAGATTTTATTACTGCGTTTATTTGGCATGGATGATGATGTGACGTAGCGCTTCTCTTGAGAAAGGGAGCAAAGTTAAGTTTCCGAAACGTCGAGCAACTAAAAATAGTAAATTTACACGAGAGTAAACCCGAAAATGGATTTTATTAATAAAAATAGTAGCGCTCGTTGAAATCTCAACAATAACATAATTTTATCGTACCAATAGTTATCGACATATCGATATATCAATAGTTATCGACATATCGATATATCAATAGTTATCGACGATATATCGATATATCGATAGTTATCGACATATCGATATATCGATATATCATATCGATAGTTATCGACATATCGATAGGTATCGATATATCGATATATCGATTATCGATATATCGATTTTTTTAGCTCTACCTATTGTTATTCGATATATCGATAACTATCGATACCTATCGATATATCGAAAAAAATTCCCATGCCTAAGTGGGGCAGTAATGCTGTGTCCTCACAGAACACTGATGATTTATAGTTCTGGGCCGACTGGAATCCAATGAACTGTCTTCATGTCAACGTTAATTCAGGTCAGCTACTGGAATCCAGCTATTGGCCTACTTACTCGCCTCGTGTGAACGCGGCATTAGTCCCCTGTCACATGGTTGCTCACAAAGGCGCAATTAATCATCTGGGTGACATAGGTATTGGTAAAGTCGAAGCGAATATTTTGAAAACAAGGTGTTGGAAGAGGGTACTCATAAAACGCAAGTGGAACGTCAGGACGAGACACATCTACTGGTCATGTCAAAACTTAATGCATTTCACGTCCATACCATGTTCTCACCTTTTCATTTGATCACACTAAAAAGCTTTTCGTTTCTATGCGGTTCTGTACGATTTCAGCGGGTAGACGGCTTTGAAAATTCCTATTTAAGTATTTCAGAGATTGTTTTCCAAATCATTGGCGAGGGTATAAAAACATCGAAAATTTGGAAAAACTTGCATATGAGCATAAGATATATACGGGGAGTGTAACAAAAATTAAATGATGTATCAGCACATAAGTAACATGCCTTTTTTTTGTTTCAGATTGTAGTGATGAAGTGATTCTTTATATTGTGTGGATGAATTGTGTATGTGATTTGTTATGGACATGTTAAAATTTATACAATATTTCTGTTGAACTGGTACCAAATATCATTCATGGTGATTTTTTATATATTCATAAGTATTACCCTGAAAAAGTCAGTTATCTCACAAGAAATACAAAAAACAGGTTTTAAACCACTGCCCTATCCATTCCATAGTTTCATAGGTTTTACCATTACAGTAGCTTCCATACATATTTTTACACATGTATAGTCTAATAGTATCTGAAATTATCGATGTTGTGATTCTGACTTCCTGAACTGTTTACGATTATAGTGCGCGTTTCTAAGGTGCGACCTTTTATACCACAATACAATCTACTGCCCGAATTGCCAAAGCAATCAAGTCAATTATTTTACATAAATATATAAACTATAACAGTGTATAATAAATAGATAAAGACAATATTTTATATCTGAACTTTTTTTTATTACATCACACCTTACGAAACGCCCATTGTAATCGGAAGATAATCATTTGGTTTGTACAAAGTACTCATAATTTTACCGCTTTTAATTCGTGATTCAATTCCTCGTTAATTTAAGTTATTTTTTTAACCATTTCACCTCCCCGAATTTACAAATCTGCAGGTGATAGTGCGCGCGTGTTTATATGTATACAGTTTGCAGTTCCTAAAGTCTATGTTTTTATTTTGTTAAATAATTATGTAATAAGTGTTATTCCTGAAATCTTTGCAAGCATTCAGCTTTATTCCATTATTAAGAGTACAAGCAAATACTGTAATAATAATAATTCTTTGTTTTGTTGATTTGTTATATACAATATATCTCATATACAAATAGATCTTGCACGATTTTGGGATTAATGAGAATGAATGGTGTTTGTTGGACGACAATGTAATTATTATATTTTGTAATATTGTAAGCCTAACGTTTTAGTTGTGCTACAAAATAACAATCGTAATATTTTGAAGGAAATTATTATGTAAACGTACTAACCGTATTAACTACGTAATTTTTTGTTTGTCAAGGTAGTCTCTATCTTTTCTATTTGCGTATAAAATTAATACATTTGGTGCTGTAGATTTAATTAACAATCTCTCCCAATTTTATCACGTTTGATGGATTATCGCGATAGTTTCGTAGTTAGTTTTTGTAAACCTGAGACTGATTGAATAGACTACAAAATTAGGAAAAAAAAAGAAACGAACTAAATCGAATGCGAAATTACAAACAAAAGATTTCTGTATGTTTTCCCACAAGTTAATCATTTTCAGTTTTGCCATTGTCAGAGCTCTTTGCACTACTTCATTTACTCATAGCATCCACAGTAGGAGATGGAACGTTTGACAATGCTATGGCAATAAATTTATTGACGCCATAGTATTACAAATACCGTAACTCGATTACCTACCTTATATGTAATAGTTCTTTAGATGGTTAAAAACATATTTTGTCAATATGTATATAATATTATATATACAGATGTAATCCACAAAATAATGGTTAACCATTAAATGGTAATATATTTTCAAGAACAGTAGTGCTGTTTGCAAGGTACAAATACATGTCAGAGTTTTATACAGAATAAAATTGTTATCAAGTTCTGCTAATCGAAACTGTGCGATCGTGTTTATATTTTAAGACAGTCAAAGTGATATTGATTTATATTATTAATTTATATTCTTCTTGTGTTATCTTTTGCATTTTATTCATACATATAATTTTACGAAATGTTGTACCTTTGAGATTTTTACTTTCTCTATAAATGCGATCAACACAATTTTTGCGGTAGAAATATAGAGATTAAGGTACACGCGTAAGTAAAATGTAAATTACAAAAAACAATTTTTACTTTATTAGAGTACAATGTTTGGCACGAAAAATTTAATGTTCCCAAAGGTACTGTAATCTCTATAGTAGTTTAAAAATTCCTCAGGATTAATGTACACACAAAAATGCAATAGTTATCTTTACTCAACAATATCTAGTGGTAGATTTTTTTTTGTTAAAAGCAAATGCTTTTTAGAATGCGAGTGTATTTTATTTTTGAAATAGTTATTCTATTTACCGGTTGTAAAATACAGAAGTTATATATTTATAGTATATTTTTCATGCTAAAATCACGGTAATAAGTAAGCTGTGTATGAAAATGGAGTTATATTGAAAGCATTTGCCTTTATGATTTTTATAACCATTTCAAATGTACAGAGATGTTTTGTGGCTTAGAACGCAAGTATATACCATTTGTAAACGTATTTAAAATTACATAAATAAACCCGTAAAACTACACTTTGTCATCAATTTTTTTCTTCGATGATAGGCTACTGGTATTAGGCCTCCATATGTTTGAAAAGAAGGGGGGAGCTAATTTAAAAAGGCCCGGGATATCCATTTTGTTTGCTGTGTTCCTAATATTAACACCCATCACATACAGGGTGTTACATGACCGTGTTAAAAAAAAAAGGGCGATAGACGCGATCAAGACGAGCACTTTTTCCAAATAAACCGAGGGACCAACGTGTTTCGTTTGGGAGCCACCCCAGGTTTTTGGGTATGCTCTTATCTGATTTTGAAATTTTTTTTGCAAAATTACCACAAAAGGGCGAACCCCTGCTTGGGGGTGCGAAAAAAAATTCTGATTTCGAGGAAATTTGGTATCTGGGGGTTTTTGAACATTACAAAAAGTTCCACTGCTATTCTTGGTCGGACAACGAAAATAGAGACAATTCCACGAAATTTTATTATTATTATCCCTCTCGTTTTGGGCCCTCAACAGGCATGCGCCCAATTACAGAGTGACCCGCATTTACCTTACGACTTGGGAAAACCTAATTAAGACAAATTTGTTGTGTACATACGGAACAAAATTGTCAAACAGTTTTTTAAAATAACTTTTCAAACAAAAGTTATACTCATTTGAAGATTGGGCCTTCGGGTTACAAAGTGTCCCCCGCCTACTAGTGAGTGATCGAGTTATAAATTTAATGCTTTGAGGTAGAATTTGGCGGCACAAGAGATTCAGGACAAAAAGGCATCTCATTATGTAGATTGTGTAATTCCTTGGAATAGTCTAAATCAACTTCCAAGTCAAAGTCGCATTGGAGATACTGTCTTATTAAGTGTCCATAAGGTTTGTGAGCACCAAGGTACACGAAAACTTCATTTAGAAGGATCCTAATTTGGGAGGAATTTATCGTTGGCAATTGCTTTACGTTTAGTGCAAGTACTAAAGCCCGTTTTGAAAATTGTAGCATATTGGGCCTCGATAAATTTGAATTGTCTAAAATTGGTCAACAAAGCAGCACTTGTACTCAGAGCTGGGAAGTATTTGAAGTTTTTAAATACTTAAAGGTATTTAAATACTTTTCTTAACATTGTATTTGTATTTGAAAGCTCAAATACTTTTAAAAGTATTTAAATATATTTGGGAAATATTTAAATACTTTTGTAGTAGTCTGAAGTATTTAAATACTTTGGGAGTATTTAAATACTTTTTAAAGTATTTGTATTTAATATTTGCTTATGTTGCATAAAAAAGTATTTACTTGCTTTTTTGAATGTATTTAGTATTTAAATACTTTTAAAAAGTATTTTGCCCAGCTCTGCTTGTACTTTACTGTAATGCTTCTGGAAAGTTGTAGCATGAATTTAAAAAAAAAACTTATAAATGGGGTAATGAACTTATATTGAATTACCTATTGAGAACCGGTCAAAAGTCACATTAATATCAAAACATTTTTATTATACAACGAAAGTACAAAGTTTTAAACAAACTATATTTAAGAAAATATCAAAACATTTTTATTATACAACGAAAGTACAAAGTTTTAAACAAACTATATTTAAGAAAAATCTAAGCGTATATAGATCAACACACCACTGATAATGCTAGTAAAGCAGTAACTGCAAGGTTCGAACATGACACTAAAAGTAAAATAACTTAATGGTGTGAGAATTACTGATAAATTTTTTTGGAAAACTGTGGTCACTAAATGACTAGTCAAATGTACAGGCCTTGTATAAGTAATTACATAACTTTTTTTTAATATGTTGAAAATTGTAATTAGGTACTTCCTTATATTAATAGTTCGCATACATTTAGACCACACCTATCCTCTTAAACAATACAGAGGCTGCTGCTTTAATGACTACAGTACACTCTTAATAGACGAACAAAAGATGTAGAAAAAGTATGCAACTATGCTCAACCAATTTTACCGATAATTTATATTGGTCACGATGACCATTCAGTTTCAGTTTTCATTAATGATGAATTGTTCAAAGGCTTCCATAATCTCGTCCGTCATTTCAGGATCCCACCAGTCCTCATCGATGAAGTCACTTGGAAAAAAAATGGTTAAATTAAATTTAAAAAAGTAGTTGCCGTGCTTTGTAAACTCACGTAACTGCGTCCGATTGAGTCGAATGGCTTGAGCAGTTGTCTAAAAATTGCTGTTCCTCTTCGGTCAGTTCTTGACCATCCGGGCCGTAGAATACGGGTCCATCGTGCGCAACGTTGGTCGTCTGATTGCTGCACGAGTTAGTTGCATAAATTGCGTACAACACAATGAAGATGTACTAACCTGTTGTGGGTTGTGTTTATGCTCGGTGTTGTTCGCCCCCAATTCTGCTCCCTTAACGATATGACTGAGTCGATTAAGTTTTTTATTGCTAGTAACTGATGATCTCGTGCGGCAAATAATTTTGTGAAAATATCACTTATCTCGTTTTTATGGGTGTTTTCCAAGGCGAATCCTGTCAACTAGCAAATTAAACAAGATCAAGTACAAATGTAAAAAGGCACTTTTGGAGGGATAAAATTGATTGCAATTGAATTGTAATTATGAGAATTAGTTTTTACGATTTTTCAAGTTTTAATACCGAGACAATTTGTGGACGTGGACGGAGTAGTGACATTGAGAAGAAAAGGTGCAGGAATAAGAGCTAGAACAAGTATAGAATGGATAAGGAATTAGGCAGATGAAGAAAGAATGGGGAGCAAGAGACAGAGAAAAGAGACAAAGACACAAAAAGCAAAGAGAGAAAAAAACACTTCGCAAGTCGGCGAAGGGTCAATAGATGGATAGAAAAATAAAGACGAAAACCGATGGAGAGCTAGAGGAAGAGGCAAGAGAGAGATGAGAAACAAGAATGAGGTTTAGACAGGCCTGGAGGGAAATGAGACAAAAGGCTGTGTGTGTCAAGTAGACGCAAAAAGCGATGGCGGAGGAGGCTAGTACGTAGACGGAAACTGGGTCAGAGATTGAACAAAAAAATCAAGATAGACAAAGAAAGAAAATAGCAGGCAGAAAGGAAGTCAACAAGAGATTTGCATGAAAATTTAGATTTAGATTCCACTTACCCTTTAAGTGTGAACGTGTACCGTTGGTCGCTTACTATTTTTTTGGGGAGAAGACTACCCCTACATAATTATAAAAAACATCAAAATCTTTAAATAAATAAACCTTTTATTGACGTTCTGAGGAGTAAATTACTATAAATTAATGATTTTCAATCCCTAAAAACTACCCCCTAGGACTGTAACCATACAAAAAAAATGATGAAAAATGTTATGTCAGCAACTTGGAATCCAACTCGAATTACCTGGACTGCACTGTTAGTCCAGTCAATTTAGACTAAAAATGGGCAATCAGAGGAACTAAAAATACTTGTTCCAATTTCTTCAGGAATGTGAAGAGGGGGAGGTCCCATGAACAAAAAAAACAAAGTTCCACCAAATCCCTACAGATTCATATTCTCTGGAGAAAAGTGCCCATAGAAGCTGCTATCGGGATCCGTCCATTTCCGACCATTTAGGCTAGGGAAAATGTAAACGAAATTTGATAGTTTCAGTTTTTCGGCAATATCTCAGTTATTTTTATTGTTATTTTTCAGATTTTTGAAAAATTTCAAATGCGTTTTTTAGTCACAAAAAGGGGCAACTTTGCCTCCATTTAACCTACACTATCTCACCGTTACGGAGATCCCAATGGTTAACCACCCTGTGCAGCATTAACTTCCCTACAGTCTGAACAGCTTCTGTCAAAAACATTATATGATTTTTATCATAGTTTATCGCATTAATTTGCGTGCGGTCGGACAGGAAACTTATCATATGAAGTGTTTTTGGGATGACTAGCACACGAGATAAGACAACAGGTGTCGGCAACTCCAGACATTCCTTCCCCTCCTCATAGTCAGGGCCGGATCTACATATTTTGTGCCTGTGGGCCCCTCGAAATCGCCGCCCCCACCTGCCCCCGCTTGGTATTCACACCTGCGCATACGTGAATCTGCCCAAAAGCTTTTCAGATCTTTCTTTTATAGATAAGAATATGTGTACGAAATTTTATTCCAATAGGTTCACCCGTTTAGTCGGAAATGAGAGTACAGACCAACCGACATCATCAAGATTTTGTTTGATTCCGATTCCTAGTGCTTCAAAACGTGTATTTCCGTGAGGTGTCATTTCTACCTGGGACACACTGTATATGAGTATACCGGGTGGTGCACGGTAAGTAGGAACATAGGGATTTAACATAGCCATGACTTTTGTTGTTTTATGAAAAATGCTACTAATAACAGAAATGTTGAAATTTATTTTTAAATTTGCGGGTATACCAAAAGCTTAATAAAACATGTAAAAACAGTTTTGTATGCACCGAGGTATGCACCTTTTAATTCTGAACAACTTTAAACTTTAATCTCTACAGTTTTTTCTGTAACATGTACAGGAGGGCAGGATATTGCATAAAAGTAATTTCCCATGTTAAATCCCTATGTTCCCACTTACCGTGCACCACCCTGTATGTAGAGAAATGGAGCCATTAAATGGTTCAAAACTATTATTTATTTTAATTGTAAAATCAAGATTTTTCGTTGAAATCTTAAAAGGGCTGTAGGGTGTGACGTGCCCAATATAAATTAACATGATATACAGTGTGTTCCAGATCGGGTGGGATTGCATGGGTAACTTTCTTATTATTAAAGATAGAGAATTGGTTAAATAGACAATGTTTTGCAGTTTTAAATGCTTATTTAAACTTTTCTTGTGGAAATTCAAAATGTCGAATAGGTTGGACGTAAATTCAAAAAAACTCAAATTGGTCATTTCCTTGAATGTCTTATATCATCGAAAGTATAAGAGTTTTATGTAAAAGTTACTGTCTTTGTCTTTGATACGCCTAATTTAGAATTGATGTCAAAAAAAATTCAAGATGGCTACCTTTGAGGAACATTTACCAACTTCCTAAAGTTAAATAGGCACCATGCCATTGGATTTTTAGATTATTTGATAGATTTTTTAATTCTCTTTTCAACGAGTTATCATAGCATAAGATTGAAAATAAGATACCAGTTATATGAACGGTTTTTATATTTTAATCAAGTAGTCAGTGATGAATTAAAAAAAACAAAAGAAAATCTATTGATCTAATGATATATGACATTAAAGAAAATGACCAATTTTAGTTTTTTTGAATTTACGTCCAACCTATTCGACATTTTGAATTTCCACAAGCAAATTTTAAATAAGCATCTAAAACTGCAAAACACTGTCCATTAACCAATACTCTATCTTTAATAATAAGAAAGTTACCCATGCAATCCCACGCGATCTGGGACACTGTATATTCTTATAGGGAATTTAAAGCTGTACAAGTTTTACTGTAACGATTTACCCCTAAAATGTATGGGCGAGGATTGTTTGTTCCTAAAGATGTATATAATCAAACTTGTAGAAAATCTAATAAGCTTTCATTTTGTACTGAAAAATGGATCATTTAAACCGAGATTTAAACGTCTTTTCTGTGCTCATTTAAAGCACCGAACGAGCGAGGTTTTTAGTGCACTTTCACTTTCAAAAAAAAAAGTGATGAAATGTCCACAAGGGCATATTAAAACGAAAAAACATACTTGAAAGTGCACTCTTCGTCTCTTGCTCACAAGCGGCTTAACGAATTTTTTAACCCTTAGTCGCGTAGTTTTAACGCAATCAAGTCCGTCAAAAAACATGTAGGTTTTTCAACATCAAAAAATTTTCTTTCAGCATTTATTTATTATTTTTGAAGGGGTTCGAGTTGAAAGTGCCATGTTTATCCTATACAAAAATCTGAAACTTTCAGAACAGCAAAACCTACAAATTTGTGCTCGAGTTCCATAAAATTTTGCGTAACATTAACAGTTTTTGTTATTTTGTAATTTTTTTGCAAAATTGCAGAAAAAGCCGAGAAAGCTCAAATTTTTTCAAAATTAAGCACTATTGTAAAACTTCTATAGAGCATGTTGCAATTGAGGTGTTAACTAAGGGGCGATTTTCAGATATTTTCCCTCAAAAAAAAATAGGGACCAATATTATTTTCAACTCAGTTTTATGATGCTGGGGTTGTTATAAAAAACAAAAAAGTACCCTTCAACCAGCAATTACTCCACTTGTATTGGGTTTATACACCATAAGTACACCATCCTTTTTTGTGTATAAGCTACAATTTTTTTAATAAGAATAATTTTTATTCATTAAAAACCATCAGAAAATGTGGGGGTTTTGGTTCAAAAATTGACACTATCACTTGGGACTCCGTCGAAAAGTATTTTAGAACAAAATTCCATCAATCCATTCCTTTTTCATGCACCTCCCAGCACAAAGCTACCCCTAATACAAGGCCATTACGGACGAGCGTAAGTAGAACCTAAATTCAAATTTACATGAAAATTGGTGCAGTTTGGCAAAATGGTCATTGAGTAGTCTCATTGCACGAGATGATATTAATAACACATATATTTGGAAGAATCTAAATTGATTTTTAGATATTTATACGAATTATGAAAAACAAGCAATTAATAAGTATAAATGAAACAGCTTATACGAAATTGTATTATGTTTAACTGCGGCAACGTTGGCAACGCTGTAGCGTTTTTGACAATGAGAGGATTTGTTTATTTCTATAAATAGAAAGCTTGATTTCTGCATGATTTTTAGCCCATTTTATGGTTTATAACTTATTGGATAACGTTTAATAATTTATCTGAACTCTTTGAATGGGGAAAAGGTGTACTGTTTGTGCAATTAGTGCAGTTACTAGTTTACCTCTAACTGTCAAACTTTGTGGTTATGTTGGTACAAAACAAACATTGTCCTCTTATCTTTGTTTCTTGCTTAACAACATCGCAAGCACTTGAAGCAAATTCCCGTTGATTTACACCAAAACATCGACACATGACAGATCGGCTACAAGCACTTGCAAGTCAAATGCTTTATCAGCACGTCAGAGGGCTTGCTGAGGTTTGGCAAGCATGTGAAATGTGAATGTGCTCATAAAACACTGTACTTCACATGTTATTAATATAAGTGGCACATTGCTCGCCAAAAGAAACATAAATCATAATTACCTTTAACACTTGACAAGCTGCCTTCACATTGTTCTCATCGTAGCTCTTGAGTATACCTATCAAACTATTTATCACTAAGTCGGCGTAAATCGTGTCATAATCAAGTTGGGTGTATAACTCCGCCAAGAGCAAAGTTAAATTAAAGTCGTTATTCCTATTTGCCTTTTTCTGGCAGAGAAGACATAAAGCCGATCGAAACAATCCACACTCCGATTGGATTACAACGCATAATCTCACAGCGCTATACCGGAAATTCGGATCACTTAATACCTAAAATGGACGATTGAGGTCGAAATACGTACGACAGTCTCTTACCTTCTCCACGATTAATTCAGTAATGTAATTTATGAATTGAAAGTCCATATAGAAAGGGGCTAACGTTTCAATAAATGAGCCTAAAATGTCCTGAAATTGCGCCGGATTTCTGATTAGATTTTGCATTAGATTCTCTAAGATTTCAACTGCTCGACACTCTGTATCTTCACCGTCTTCGGGCTCCACTTTTGGTTCATCTTCGGACGTGTTTACATTTTTTTTGTTCAAGTGTTGCTTAAGATGTAGTAGACGGTCCTGGGCGGCTTGGTGTGGAGCACGTTTGGGTTGTTTGTAATTTGCCGGATACCATTCGGGGGCCCTCGGAGATAATCTGCTGTTCTGTACAATGACGAGTTCAGATGAATTTCGCTGACCATTTCTGTTTTCAGTTTCCTGTCCATTGGAGTTGTTTCCATTAGTCGTGTTATTCGCTCTTACTGAACTTGGACGTCTTAAAGGTTTAGCACAGTTTTCCTCCCACGTATGACTGGAGTTCCCATCACTCATTTTTTGTGAACAATTTATTTACAAAAATATTTGCAACACAACAGAATTATAACAAACACCAATGATCGAATGTTCTTTCGGCGCATGTGTAGTAGGTATATTTTGAAGTGTGATAGGATCAAGGTGAAGCTAGCAGCGAAAAGGTAGCCGAGAATTGGTGATATTGCAACAGCGCATACCTCCAGTACAAGTAGCCCACGTCCACATATCGTCGTGAATGGATTTTCCATTAATTTTAGGGGTAGTTAATAGTTTGTCCATTGGATTTCATAATATAGACAAAGTAGCTTAATGTTTGTTACTTCTGCCAATTCTTCAGGCTATAATCCTTCAGAAAATTTTATTTTTAATCAGTCTTAGACAAGTCGACTTTTTAAGATATTTTAGAGGAAAGTCTTTGCTCTAGTTTTTGGCAGTTTGTCCACTATACCTCTTAATATAATCAAACTGGCGTAATTTTTTTCACTTCTGCTAGATCTCCAGCCTGGAGAGTCAGACTCCAGGGTATAATCCTTCAGAAATATTGATTCTTCGGTCTAACTAAGACTAGACGATTTTCTATGACTTGTGAGGCATGCTATTTTTTTTGGTAGTTTGTCCTCCTGTAAGTAATTCTTAATAAAGTGGCGTGATTTATCTTACTTCTATCAGCTCTTCGTTACTAGTCTTTATCGGCATTTTTCAACACGTTTCATAAATTGAGTTCTCGATTTTTGTTGCATTTTCTTATAGGTTACCTATTCGATCGCGATCAGGGGTGGATGGGGAACCATAAACCAGTCCGTGAAATATATATCGGCCCACTTAGCGAGTGGGGGAGGGGGTACTCCGTGCGCCCTAATTTCAAACATTTATGCGTTTTCTAACACTGATTGTTGATAATTATTTCCCAACAACATAAATGCTTCTAGATTATTGTTACACAATCTGTTAAGTCTTAAAATGGATTAATTTATAACAGTAATTATAAGCGCGAACTATTCATTTCTACGGCGTTGAAATTGGGACTGATAGAAACGCAATTCGATTTGCTTATATAGCAAACGTCGTTCTTTCTGGAGGTTCCCGAGTATTCTAGAATGTTCTCTAACAAACACGTCGTATTTCCCGGAAAAATTGCGTCACATCTGTCTTCGCTCTTTATCGCCGATTCTTCTTCTTTAATGGCGCCTCGGAATTTCTCGAATATTCGCTATAATGTTTCTTGATATAAATTCTACTGGTACTGGCACTCTAACAGCATCTAAAACAGGTTTTGACAACTACCACAAACGGCATTTTTAGAGATATCTACATTTTGTTGTTTATCTGCATCGTTCGGAAGCAATGCGGTGGACGGTTGACAATTTTTATACATTTTTTTTTCAAGAAATCTCAATTGTGGTTGCCCCCGACAAGATCTTAAAATTTCTTCTCGTAATCGAACAGGTCCGGCAGTGGCGGCTCGTAAGCTGCGTAGAAGGTAGTGCCAAATTGTGCCCTCCTCCCCATTATTTTAATAGTTACAAATTTTTGTTTTCATATTATTCCAGTTATTTAGATTTTGAGTATAATTCGAATATTTATAATGCAAGTGACGGAAACAAATCTAGCCCCTTTAATTTCTTTGGAGGCTTGTTTATTATAAGTATACTTCAAGCATGCATTCCAGTAATTCATTTTGTGTTGTTTTAGATGAGAATTAGCGGATTTTTTTGACAAAAAATTGTATGGAAAGTGTTACTTTTTTCACGATTTGTACTATCCGTTTCCATGGCGTTTAGTCTGATCTATAAACAATAGCAACATTTTATTTGCAGTTGTATTAATGAGGCCGAACTCCGAAGTATCATTTTCAGCAATAGTTGTACAAATAACTATTCAAATCTTTATCTAAACAAGTAGGTACCCGAAATTTATTAATTCCCTGAATACCTACTCCTTTATTTTCGGATTTATCGCTATTGTCGTGTGGTCCTCTTAAAGAAGATTCAGACACATTTCGTTTTTTAACGATATTTAAGTCCGGTAACGGCCTGCTTAATTGCTTTATTTAAAGTCTATTTTCCAGAGAATGCATGGAAAAAGGTTTATTTAAATGATTTTTTAATTTGTGTATTTTACGTAACAATTAATCCGGGAAGTGTAATCTTACACAGAAGTAAAAAAAATTGTTTGACTTATCACGACTGAAACAAGGAAAACGGCGCAAAGCATAGTAATACACGCACACATTATTCAATTGTGCTTATGAGCCAAACTTCTGATGGCTCAAGTTGTACGTATAAAACGCTACTTCGGTTTCGCTCCTCCCACCCCTCTACTCCCCGCGGAAGTCCACACTTGTAGGAAAATACGAGCCAGTTTCAGTTTGGCACGGCTCGACCGTATTTGAAGTCCACGGATAAGCACAAATGAATTTTTCTTGGTACCTAATTTATCAAATCATTTACTTTTTTTGTTTTAAGGTTTTAAAACACAATTACGTACTCTAGTGAGCACAATTAATAATAGTTAATTATATTTTAAGAATTGATAATTAGCAGGTTCCTTGAGGTGGTGCCATGGCTCCTTGGCTCTTTATAGAGAGCCGCCCCTGAGGTCCGGCATTTTTTCGCAACGTTTTTCCAGTAGATGATTAGGCAAGACTACAATTTTATTATCAGGGAAAGTATTTGAATTTAAAAGGGAAAGATCCATACAGAAATCTGTATACTTTGTTGAAAATCTACCTTTAATAGATTCAATGGCTTGATTTTAAGAGTCTGAACATAGAAATTCTCAATTTTCTTCCAACTTACTCACTTAAATATCCTTATTAGTTATTTCATTTTTAACGCATCTTTGCAAATTTGTGTCAAAGGTAGCTTTTAATCATTTGAGCCGGCTGGCTAGCTGGCTGGCAGCAAATGCGGGAAATTTAGTCGAAGCGGGGAGAGCGGAGAACCCCATTATCCCTCAGAAGCAAAGCAAAAGTGCAATTGATGATGGTTTTTCTACGATCGAATGAATCGAGTGGGTGAACCGTTTCTTCGGACACCAACCTCGGCCCTCAGGTCTTTTTGTCTTTAGTTTGTTTCATACTGAGTAATTAAATGATTGCGTTGCATTATTGACTAAATGAGTGCTATTGTGCTGGATGAACACGCCGTTGGTAGTTGCTCTGCTGGTGATACTCATAAATAATTATTACCTCGATTATTACTCATATAGCAAGAGTCAATTGCCTTAGCATGCCCAAATGGCTCCTCTAGGGAAAGCACTAAAATTGCGCCCTTTCGTAAACTACCTTAATATAAAACAAGACACGAAGAATCGCATACAATTTTGAGTAGGGGAATTATTCGCGCACCGCCCGAACCTAATTAAATCGGCTCGTATTCGGAAACAGGACTTTTAATCCGGCTCACATTCAATAGCACTGATCCTTGAACTCGTTGAAATAGATTGGCGAGGGTTTAACATCGCTGTCTATTTTCGTTCTCGAGTTAAACGAGGAGCAGACGAACGGACGGACAAAACAATCATATAAAGGGAATTTTTTAATTTCGAAAAATTTTCCTAAACAGCAGAGACCTACACTTTAAGCTGCTTCGAAGTTTTTGGTAACGACGTTACAGCGCGCCTTGCGCCACTGCTATTGAACTAATTTTTTTTTAAATTTTATTTATTGTCCCTCTTGTTCTAGGCCCTCAACGGTAGGGATGGGCGATAACTGTTTTCACCTATCGATAAGTATCGGGTACTTACCTATCGATATATTTTACTTATCGATATGCCGATAATTATCGAAATATCGATACTTATCGATAATTATCGAAATATCGATAACTGTCGATATATCGATAACTTATCGATATGTCGATAGTTATCGATATATGAATACTATCGATATATGAATACTATCGATATATGAATACTATCGATATATGAATACTATCGATATATGAATACTATCGATATATGAATACTATCGATATATGAACACTATCGATAGGTATCGATATGTCGATAGTTATCGCTAGGGATGGGCGATAACTGTTTTCACCTATCGATAAGTATCGGGTACTTACCTATCGATATATTTTACTTATTTATCGATAAGTATTTTATTTCATATTTGCGAAATTCGGAAACTATCGTTTCTTTCATAGTGTTTGGTGCAGTATAATGGCCAGTGTCCAGATGGTGTGTTGCTGAAGAAGAAAAGATCTAATTTTTAAAGATTTTATTACTGCGTGGATTTGGCATGGATGATGACGTAGCGCTTCTCTTGAGAAATGGAGCATAGTTAAGTTTCCGAAACGCCGCGCAACTAAAAATAGTAATTTTACACGAGAGTAAACCCGAAAATGGATTTTATTAATAAAAATAGTAGCCCTCGTTGAAATCTCAACAATAACATAATCTTATCGTACCAATAGTTATCGACATATTGTTATATCAAGAGTTACCGATATAGGTATCAATAGTTATCGACATATCGATATATCGATTTTTTTTAGCTCTACCTATTGTTATTCGATATATCGATAACTATCGATACCTATCGATATATAAAAAAAAATTCCCATGCCTACTCAACAGGCTTACGCCCAATTACAGAGTGACCCGCATAATGCTTTTTAGACGTGCCTCTGCAGAAGGTCTTAAGTTATTCTATACTATTCCGGTATTTACCTTACGAATTAGGAAAACTGCAGGAAAACCTAATTCGGAGTAGCCGGCAGCATGCTCGAAACTGGAGAGCCAAAAATTACAATTTACAAAATTTCCCAGTTTATAAAGAGCCACAAAAATTTTTTGATTCAATATTATAGTTTTTGACTACATACAGGGTCCTGCAACAGTGCGTCGGGTTTTCCTACATAGCTGATACCTGGTAAAAAATATTGGTGGTTGCGGATCTACAGAAATTATTTTTGAATGTACAGAGTGTTCCATTTTTACGATGTCAATAAATAACTGATCTTTTTAAATAGAACATCCTGCATATTTTTATTTGTTTCAATGCCATTTGTTCAAAGTGCTATAACTATTCTTTTTCAAATGGAACTACCACTATTTTATTTCGCCATTCGATTGTCTTTTGTCTCTTCAAAAAGGGGTGCCCTGTCCTTAAACCCCGCAGTTTTTATGTTATTCAATATTTTTCACAAAAGTACCTACTCATTAATTAATTACGTGTTTATACATCGGAGTAGGCTGCTATAATAAAAAAACAAAAGAATACCAGAAAGTAAACAAGTGTCACAAATGAGATAATTATTTGCTGCAAGTGTACTGTTGATTTCGTAAACAAATAAGATTAATTAAAATGGCGAATTTTGTACAAATGAACTAATAATTCCCATCTCTTCCACAGATGAAAAATTCACCTCAACCCAGGTTCGAACACCCGACCTCCGGATATATAGTCCAACGCTCTACCACTGAACCATAAAGCCGGTAATAGGGAAGAAACATTTTATTATTTCTTGCATCTCCAAATTTCACGTCGCAATTATTTACATTTTACATTAGGCTTTGATTTGTTTATTGGAGCATGACGTTGCAGAATGATGTTTGTTTGTTTATAATGTACAGGTGGTTGCGCATTTATACTTTTTATTAACTATTTCTTTAGGTATTCACGTGGAAGTGTATTATCAGTCTGATGTTGCCCTATATGAGTCGTTTAATCGTTATACCGCGGAGGAAGTACCTCATACAGTTCCGCTTCTTCGCTGTATCATGTTGCTTCCACTCTCGTGCCCGCTGACCGACACGGTGCGTAAGCAATACCAAAAAGGGGGATCCTGTAATTAACATATCTTCGGCTGAGTATGTGGGATCTAGTGTGTTAATCGACTTTACCATGAATATTGCTTGAATTCTCACCTGCACTTTTCGTGTTAAATTAAAGGTGGATGCTGGAACCGGGCCGTGCCATTTTGATGTGTTTCTTTGTGTTCATGCTATTTATCATTTTCCCAGTTGTTTTGTCTAAATTGAACCGTAGAAGTTTTTTACGTGTTCTTGTACATACCTAGAAGATTTAGCTTGCTTTCCATGTGACTTGTATCTCGATAACCGAGATCAAAAACAGATGTCTTAACACAACTTAATGCTACAAACCTTCTGATCCGTTATTAATGACTAGATTTTGGTTTTATGAATCTTAAAAAAAAGTAGAATAAGTCTTGTGTATCTGATTATTAGGTGATACTGTTATAATTTTATATGATGCAAGGTATCATTGAAGGTAAATATGAATTAATATCGTGCTGCTAGATATAAAAGCAATTAAAAATTATTGATATTTATTTTACACAGTTAATATAAAGAACTATTTTATATGAATTTCCGAAGGCAGTAGACTCATTGGACAATACTCTATTTCTATATTATATTGCACTATTTTTACAAAAATTTTGTTCTTTAACACAGTCGTTGTTTGTAGCGACTCCTGCATACATTTTGTAATGTTTGTCACAATATATTTTTATTTTGTTCAAAAAATTGATATTCAAATCTACGATAAGACATTCGGCATCAGATCATTATTATACATCATAAAAAAGAAAATATATTTAAAAGTAATTAAGTATATCACAAACATATATACAATATACAGTGAGTCCGTTTTCAATTATATTTCAGAGTAAATGGTACATTGGGGCAAGGGCATCGACCATCGTCCGTCAGCGAGACACTTCGGTCGAGCTTCTAGTCGCGATTCGAAACCGGGATTGCAGATCACCTGAAGTTCATCGCCGGGTTCGTACGCAAACTTTGAAGGTACCACCGCTCCGTTCTCGGGTTCGCCCAAATACGGACATCTCGGTTTACCTAAATGGGTGCGTGTGCTAACAATTATTTTTGTGAGATACGTAACTTACAAAATGGGGGAGGATGCGACCAGTACCCAGTTTCGGTACAAATTATGCTTGGTTCCCCTTCTAGTACGTGAGCGCCTCGACATGCAAACTGGACGAGACTGCCAACGGCGTACCTTCCGCCGTCCATTCCAGCGGATTCGGATTGGATGAGGTGTCCGTTTACGGGTATGACTGGAGGAGAGCATTGGATTGCTGCAATAAAGCCGTTGGTTATGATAAGTAAGCGTTTTGGTGATGTAATTACGTAAGCATTTCGGTACTGGTCCGGACCAGTTACCGTCGAGTTCGCATTCGACTCCCGGAGGCCCCACGAGTTGGTAACCCCACGCACAACTGAATACGGCGCGTCCCCCGTAGCTGCAGTTGTGCTCCATCACTTTTACATGGGGTTCGTCTAGAGCACCAGGAGTTACCAAGGATGGACAACGTACTGGGTCACAAGATGGCACTGATGACGACCATTTGCCTGAAAGATTTCGGATTCGTTACTAATGCGCATTTTGCTGGATATATATAGTCCTGAACGTAGGACTGACCATAAAATCATTGTCATCTGATCCTACCATCAAGCCGTCTTTTTGGATTTATTTAGATGTAATAAATTCGTATGGAATAACTATGACATATGTTTATGTCTGTAATAAAAAGCTGTTCGGTTCTTATCATACACTTGCATACAAATATATAAGATCAAACTAGAAACAACATACTAGCATCCACTAATTCCAGGAGAAATTCCCAAAGGAGAATTTGAAATACTGTACTAATGGAATAACGGAAGGTAAAATGAATTTCGTTGAATGTACTTTATTTACTCTAACGCCAAACGTGAACCGGAGACGAGCTTTCATGTAAAATTTGTTTAAAGCTACAGACTGTGTAATATTACCTGAAGCCTGACAAGTGAGATTAGCGTTTCCGTTAACTTTAAATCCAATAGGACATTGGAAAATTGCCGTGTGCCCCAATCTTGTGCCCTCAACTCGAACAGTAAGATGCATGCTCGAGACGGAAATCGGGCCACAATGTACGGCTGCGAAAAGAAAATTAGATTACGTACCGCATGCATATTGTATGCTGTAAGATAAATCCATACCGGCGACGTGAAGCGATATGCTGTTTGTTACCCCTCGAGGTGTTGAGCACGTGAACGTTCCCGAATCTTGCGGTTTTGCGTAATAAATTGATAATCTGTACTTCCAATCTCTTTCTTCGGAAGCTATCGCCCATCCTGAAGCAAACGATAAAATATCAGTTGTCGACACGAAAAGTTGCCAATACATATGTTATAAACATGAAAGTTTCTTGCGACACTAAAGGGATCCTTGAGTAACCGATGTATTTTAATATTACATGAGCCTTAAAAATTCGCAAAGGAATTTTTGATATAATCTACTATAAAAACCGAAAGCGAATACATAGTAAATATAAAATTCATTTCTTTCCCATCTGATGTCGGTACATATCAAATACGGTTCTTCATTTTCCAATCATCCCTCATCATTTTACTAGCAACACACCAACAATAAAAATCTAGATGCGCCTTCTACAGTTAAAAATAAATAATTCACGAGTAATCGTGCTTGAAAAATACTAATACAATTACCAAATAATTAATCAAGGAAAACAAAAACGTTGCAAAAAGCAAAATCCTGAGGGAAATTGTAATCCCGGTTACTTAAAGGGGATGTACGTACATAAACCGATTACAATTATCGCAATACTGTATCCTGCCTAACTCTCGTAACTAGTACAATATATTCCCGGGAATAGAAATACAAATTAAATCGTGTAAAATGAGAAGTGACTAAAAATCGATAGGATGTATTGTATTCTCTTGCAAAAACATTGTAACGTAATTAGCAAAGTTTTGTCAACATTTAATGTGATTATAAAGTTTCTAACGGAAGAGCTGCTTAATTAAAAGCTGAGAAATTGGAATGCCTTTAACTTTTAAAACAGTCAAGAACAATTATTATCTTCTTAAGTTATTAGTAAACGTTGTACGCAGATAATTTGGCACGAATATTAAATTATTTTGTGATTAACCTTCGGACGGGCTTAAAATTGTTTACTTACTTATTTCGTTTTCATCATGTACATCAACCGATTACAGGTTCGTTCGTAAAGAATTGCATGGATCTGACAACAGTGTGTTAGGTTATTTGATAATCCCATATAATAAATGGACTGCGCGTGTAAATTCTAAGCGCGGATACTGCAGGGAAGAGAGAAGGAAAAGCTAAGAGGGCAAGCTGTCTCTTATGGTTACGCATCTGATTGGTTCTTTCAACAGATGCGTACGCGATCACATTCAAATTAAATTGAACGAACCAATCAGATTCGTAACCGTAACCTACAGCTCGCCCTCTTAGTTTTCCCTTCGCTCTCACCTGCAGTATCCGCGCTTATCATTGACACGCGCAGTCCAATTATATGTTGATGGATAATCCGCAAATGTTCAACAGAAACTAACACAAGGAAATCGTCGGCAAAGCGATCAGATGTTTGCTGCTGACGACAGCTTTTGTAATTTCGAAAGCTTATGTTAGATATGACTCACACTCTTGATTCAGGCAATGCATTAGTAAGAACCAATTTTTCGTAGGCCATCATTTGAACAAAATAATCTAAGCGACACACGACGCAAAGCCAGCATGATATACAATATAACCCAATGTTACGCGTTTTTAAAGTATCGTAATAGCAAAACAGTTATTTTAGGTTTTCCGGTAAGTTACCGACTTCTTTTTTCGTTGACTGAGTCCTGAACTTTCGGACTACTACGAGCGCAAGATAAGTGGTAGTACTCAGGACTAATTGACGACGGGAACGCGAACTGGTATTATGGTTTGAAATTTCGCCCCCACTGGCAGCTGCAGTGAAATGGTTTGCGGTTTACAAAACCAAAATTTAAAATTCAATCTTGATCTTACCCACAGCTATAATGGAAAAACTACCCAAAATCAACACACATTTCTTTAAAATACCACAATTTATGTTCATAATATGATAACATATAATTTATAGAAGAGAACCAATCAAAAGGAAATAATCCTTTCAGCTAAACTTAATATAATTTACGTTCACTGCTAGCATATTTGTGCAAACATTCGCATTAACTTCGCAAGGGCAAAATTTTAGTTAATAATTAAAGCGCACAACACAAGTGCGTCAAGCTTAAAGTTAATTAAGTTTCCGTGCACTACGCCCCCAGCGACTACATTTATGCATTTATTTCAGGTCAATTTACACCACACGCAAGTTTAGTTGAGCTCTCTTCATGTAAATTATTAACGAGCTCATAGTGAGTTTCATAATTTTGCGATGTTTGTCCGTCTGTCCGCCTGTCCGCTAGGACGATATCTCGAAAACGAATGGGCCGCTTTGAATGAAATTTTGCAGGTAAATGTTACATGAAAGAGGTTACGTGACGCTAATAAGCCCCCCAGGTACGATCATGAAATTGATAGAAATGGATAGAGGGCACTTTAACGAACCGTCTTCAATAAAAAAATCTGCGGAAGAAGCCCTAAATTTTCCACAATCTTAATTAAAAGTTCAATTTATTTCGTCGAAAGTGAGGTTATATTTCTCCAAAGTTCATGATTGTTTTTCAGTTGTAGTGGTGTTCTTAACATTCCTGAGTGCCAACTGTAGTTAGTTTCTTAAGAGGTTATGTTATTTTTCCACGATTTAATAAACTTTAAACAATGATATACAACTATTATACATTTGTTTATTATTATACCATTATAAGCATTAAGTAGTTCTTTACATGTAATATTACTAAGTAGCGATTCATAAGGAAAAGGCGTTCCAAGTTAATCGGTGATCGCTAACATAGAGGCTACCCATGGAAGATGCGAGAGATGTGCCTTCCCCTCTCGGCTGTATAAGGCGGTGGATGCTAAGCGGCGATTCATACGAAAAAGGTGTTCCGAATTAATCGGCAGCAGAGTAGATTGGTATATGAAACATGCAGGAAGTGCCCTGGTTTCCCCTCTCGGTGATCGATACAGAAAAGACAACTTTTATTGTATTAGGTATGTGTTAATATACACGTTAAACCCAGCACATTTCAATTTAGTAGACGAAGAAGTTAACTTAACCTCCTACAAAAATTAGCTGTCACATAAAATTTTTCAGTTTCGCCAACTTAAGAGTGACGAAATATACGTAAAATAACACCAGATTTCCAGAAAATGAAGTGAACTTTTAATTAAGATTGTGGAAAATTTAGGCCTTCTTCCGCATTTTTTTTTAATTGAAAACGTGTTATTAAGGTGCCCTCTATCCATTTCTATCAATTTCATGATCATACCTGGGGGGCTTATTAGCGTCACGTACGCTGTAATTGAAGTATCAGTTATGACATTTATATATGAAAAATAATATCTACCAAAATGGCTTCCTCTTACAGCTCGATAGAGGTCCCCTTTTTTTGATAATATTTTCAATGACATTTTGACATAATTCAGGTTCTATATCTCACTAATGACACGAATAATTTCATTCTTAGGTTCAGGAATCGACACTGGATTATTATTATAGACATAACTTTTTCAGATAATCCCTAGGATAACCACATGTTATTGATATACTAACTCCAACTTGTTGTAAACGTGGTCTAATGGACATTTCAGGGTTTTCAGCAACACTTTTACGAACCAAATCAATATTTTCTTATGGACGAGCGTTACGACTGTATTTTTCAGTTTTTTGATCTTTTATCGAACCTGTCTCTTGAATTTTTTTAATAATTCCATCAATAGTGCGTTTAGATGGACGGAAAAGTACTATAAAATTAATGTAATTTTCTAAAAACGCTTCACGGAATGCTGATTTTCATAAAATAATTCAACAAGTTGAAAGCGTGAACGAAGTCACTTTTATAAACGTCATAAATCACACTTCTTAAATTTTGCGGCGCTGCGATTAGTGGTTATGGATTGTACACATTCATTTTCGTCTTTCTGTCGAGAACCATACGAAGTGACAGTTCGGCGAAAAAAACAGCTGAGGCGTTAGTTTGGAAACGCATGGAATTTTAATTGCCGTCACGCACATGTTCTAAATCTTTGGCGATTGTATTTTTAATCGGAGGATTCCGCAGTAGCTACTGAATCGGATTCACCTTTAACTCTTTATAGAGGATATTAGCCGCGTTTTTTGCTTCTTCGTAGATATTCCATTTGCATTACACTTACTTGAAGTGTATCTTTCTTTAGGTTCGGCTGATATTTGTAAAACCTTTTCCATGGACGATTGTTTCATTCATCTATAATTAGCCCTCTTATTTAAAGAGTTATGTACATTTTTGGTTATCAACTAAGAGGGTTACATTTAATTTCTTTTAGGGTTTTAATTTAGGGTTAAAGTTAATTGTTATCAGTTTAACGGACAAATTGAATTTAATTCAATTGTAAGGACCAGCTTACGTTGAAAGACGCTTTGCCTACCATGCCGTCGATGTACGAGTGTGTAACTTTGGGTTAAATCTTAAGACCTTCTGCAGAGGCACCTCTAAAAAAGCATTATGCGGGTCACTCTGTAATTGGGCGCAAGCCTGTTGAGGGCCCAGAACAAGTGAAGGATAAAATAACATAAATAAATAAACCACCGTTGCCTGCGCGTGTCAACACCTTTTGACATCCTTTCTATCTGCAGATCAGGGGCGCCATTTGCTGAAATTGGGTCATTGGGTCATGCACCAGATTTGATATCAAGGATTCGATCGTTAACCATGAAACAACTTCCATTACCGTTTACCGAGTCCAGTATCGTAGTTTTGATAGTAAGCTTACTACGAGTAAGGCGAGGCCCTTTAGTCTAATTTACATTAAGGTTAGCATCTCTTTCTATGTTTTACTTAATTATATTTAGCCTCTACTTTCGAGTTTGTGTTCGGAACATCAATTTATCAGTTAAAGCTGAACTGTGGTGCTAAAGGTCCCTGGTTCGAATCCGGGTTCGGGCATGGATATTTGTAAATGTGTAGTGGGTTGGGTTGGTAGAGCAGCCTTGGCTGAAACCCCGCCCACTCAAAAATAAATGCAAAATAAAATAATAAATATTTGTGTTTACGCTGTCCGTGTTTATTTTGATTTTTATCATTTGCTTGTATAAACCAGTATTTTGTTTGGTACTTCATTGATTTGTACTTTTGTACTTCTCAATTTCATACGGGGAGAGTTAAGTTAGAAATTGAGTGGCGCTTAACCCTTGATAAGTGCAACGAAGTTATGAAGATCGTTTTACCGAGAACGAACTACCGCTGTGG